AAACCCTAAAACCCTAGCCCCCTAAACCTTAAACCCTAACTCTAAACCCTAGCCCTCTAAAGCCTAAACCCTAGCCCCGTAGCCCCCTAAACCCCTAAACCCTAAACCCTAAAACCCTAAACCCTAAACCCTAAAACCCTAAACCCTAAAACCCTAAACCCCTAAACCCTAAACCCCTAAACCCTACACCGAGCTAAGGCTGCCAACATGGATTACGTCCTCTCGGGTGCCGTGTGGCTTGGTCTTCGACGGTTTCCTTCCGGGTGTTAGGATTTAGGATTTAGGGTTAAGGTTTAGGGTTTAGGATTCAGGGTTTAGGATTTAGGGTTTAGGGTTGAGGGTTAAGGGTTGAGGGCTTGGCATGGGTCTGAAGAATGATTTGGGGAAGACTTTTGGGGTGTGGTATGCTGTTTTAGGATCACATGAAGTTGCATGGGGACAAGTGCCCTAAGCGCTCCAAAATGTGCTTCAGCGAGCGAACAGGACCGTGTGAGCAAAGACATCAGTATAGATCGGCGAGCATTTGTTCCGCTTTGCGATTTCTCCGTGGCATTCGTATTGCACTCTATGTTTTGGATGACCTGGTCATTTCTATTGCAAGCTTTCTGTCCTTTTGTGTTCTTGGGCGGAGAAAGAAGCGCTTGCCAGGCCACAAAAACTCGAGCACCAAACCTTGAACCTTAGACCCTATAAACCCTGTACTCGAACCTAAACCCTAACCCTACACTATACACCCAACCAGAAGTCCGAGGGCTGTAACGACGTGCTTTAATTTGGGTGTTGTCCCATTCCCTCATCCCTAGACTAAAGTTTAGGATCTGGGGCTTAGGATTTAGGGATAAGTTTTAGGATTTAGGGTTTCGAGGTTAGGGTGAACGGAGGAGTAGCTTCAAAGCCTAAACCAGGCCTCAGCCCTACAAGTATAGCTTGAAAGGGTTTACCTGGACCCCAAAAGTATGTAAAATAATGGCCTTTGTGGCTGTTATTATGTGTTTAGGGCTTTTTTTTTACATATTTTTGGGGTCCAGGTAGGGTTTAGCATTTAGGGTTTAGGGCTCAGGTTTTACCTTTGTCGTCCCTTGCAGCTTGAAGACCCCCCCCCCTCCGGGCTCAATGATTTGTCATTGGCGTGTGTAGGCCTTGAGCCCTAAGCCCTCCGGCCCACGGTGTCGGGGTCACCCACACACACGAACCACCCAAATAGAGCTCCAAAAGGCCACGCCGAAGAAGTTTCCACGCAGTCAGCCAATTTAGAGTTTCGGGTTTAGAGTTTGGCGTGCCTTTCCCCTCAGAAGCCTAAAGTCAAGGGGATGCATACACAACACACACACACACACATGTCCCTTTGAGCTCTCGACCTATG